TAGCGATACCACATGGGAAAGAAGTGAACCGATGTTATACATTTTCGAACTTTATTTAAGCTGGGCAAATTATTAGAATGTGAAAATTTAAGTCCGAATCGTATATTAATTTCAAGACTTTTCATGCGTACCAAACAGGCAGTGATTTTCCTCCACCAAAACCGAAATGTTTTGAAATCACTGTGTTGCCACAACTATAAACCGGACACCATCCTTTGTTATTTTGTGTATTTTTCCCCTCCACAAAATTGGACCATTTGAATAGCTTGTTTTTTGTCTGCACGGGGTAAACTATAACTAGCGTATCAACCAAACAAGACCCACAGTCACACTGCCCCGTTGTGCACTCTGTGGGTGCATTTGTATGAGTGAGTGTAAATTGGCTTGAAATCTATTAAATAAACAAACGGCCAAACTCTTTGAAAATCCGGTCCATCGTGCCGTACGAAATATCTGTTGCAATTGAAAGACGAACCAAATCCGAACATAATCAAGTACAAAGCAAATACTTGCCACGATGCAACGTTCTCAGAGTTGTCCGTTGTTGGCGTTGGTGGCAATGGAGATTTTCGTTTTTCGTTGCGCCAATGTAAAGAGAAAAATACACTTTCCGCTTGAGTGTTTGGCGTCGTGGTGGTGGAAACTGGGATTTGTAGATTTGTGCCGGATTATGGCAATTGAAAATCAGCAAATTGTGAAAAACAAGAAAAAAGCAACAACAACAACATAATGTGAATCTGTTTAAGACAGCTAATAAGCTGTAACCGCTTGTTCTGTTCCAATCAAATTATTTTCTGCTCAAATGAAAAGCAAGCAAGAGAACTGTTTTACAGTTTTTATTAAGGCCTTCGGAACTATAATCTACATGGATGATTTGGTAATTGAGGCGGTCACAGTGTTGAGGAAACAGCAAAGAGGAATTTCTGAGGAGGAGTTGATTTGGGAGCAAATACAATTTTTTGCAGGTTTAAACAATATTTTTTTTCATTTTTTTGTTATATATTTATTATTTTTTTTTATTTTATTTATTTATTTATTTATTATTATTATTATTATTATTATTTTTTTTTTTTTTTTTTTTTTTGAATTCCAGGGAATTAAATTTCTGTTTTTTGAAATACCGTAAATATTACAAATTTTGGAATAATAGTATGACCAGACCAACGAGTTTTAATACACCACTAGAAAATATTAATCTTATTTTGAGCGAAACAAAAAACAAAGCCATTCGGAATGAAAGCAAACCTTGAAATCCAGAGCAGAGTTTAATTTATTTACCATGTCTTGCTTTTCCGTTATTTTTTTTTTCTTGTATATTTTCTTATTTTTTATTTTTGTTTATTGTTTTTTTTTACATTTTCTCACCTTAAATCCCCCAAAACAAACAACCTAAGAAAAACTCCCTTTTGAAAAAAAATCTAAATTCAATGAAAAACATTTTTCATTCACAGGTTTAATGCCTCGCCCAGGAGACGTAACATTTTGTTGTTGCGTTATCCATTTGCTTGGCAACCTTGAGCTGCAATTGCAAGACGAAGAATAGCTTGTTCTTTTTGTTCTCCTTCTTCTTCTCCTTCAACGAAATAAGGGGATTTGTGTGTGTGTGTCTTTCTGCTATATTGTTCCATAGAATTTGGTATTTGAATACAGTTTTGTTGTAACTGCTTCTACTTCTCGTACCCCTTGTCTGATTGCTAATTTGCGCAAAGTACCCAATTTTCAAGATTTGTGTACGTCTTGTTCGTTTGGTTCATCTGTTTATGTGGCTGCGGCAAGGTTAAGTTGGTTATGCTATTTGTCGAGTGGCAATTACTTGAGATTATGGTAAGCAGAATATAGCCAAATTTATTTTGTTGCAAAGACTCTCCAGAGTATTGAGTACATTGAATGTATGCCACGCTTTTGGGTGCTGTTCTTGTCTTGATTTGTGGCAGAAAAATTATTGGAGATGATATTGATATTGAGTGTAACACTAAGCGTAATTCAAGTTTTTAAAATTTTAAATTTTTGGTGCACTTTAAATCAAACTTTTCTCAAAAATTGTCCAAGTTTTTGTTATTATGTATGTCATAATGGCATAATTAGTAAGAAAATATTCGACTTGAAAAAGATTTGGTGCCAATTCCTTTATGATCTGGTGAAAACGTCTATCAATACCCTTTTTATTATCAGAAATCAACACTTTTTTCCATGAAAGAAATTTTAAACCATGCAATTTTCAAGGTTGGGAGTTAAATAATTTTAAGCTTCGACTCATATGAAAAATTAAAAAGTATTTTTGAAATTGCAAATTGTTCTACCCTGTTCTTATCAATGTTAAATTTTGCTACTGAACTTTGAAATGTAGTACTATATTGCATTATCAGGGAGAGATGAAAAACTACAACCAACTTCAGACTGCTATCATTTCTATGCCACTCGTCCGACATTGTTTATAAGCGTACTAAGGCATTTTGGTGAGAATTTTCCAGATAAAAGTATATTCGTGATGGAATTCAAGCATGATAGTGTGATTTCTTTATATTTGGCGGGAAAACCAAAAGTGGTTATCGTTAGAGCACTCCAGAATTTAAATGTAAATTAATCTTTTGTGTCTCGCACCATCGCTTGATACTGGCACCGTAGCCCGACTTGAAGGAATTGGACGGAAGAAAACAGCAACATCAGTAGAAATGGTTCGAAAAGTAGAGAAGCGACTTGATTGAAACCCGCGTCGCAGTGGCCGAAAAATGGCTCGTGAGCTGAAAATATCGCAATTTTGCCTTCGGCTAATATTGAAAAATGAGCTCGAGGTAAAGCCATTGAAATTCCAAGAAGTGCAAGAACTTGCAGCGCAACAAAAAGAAAATAGATTCAAAAGAGCGAAAGAGTTGCTTCGCTTGGCCGAAAGTGGGAAACAACTAATTTGGTTTTCTCCGATGAGAAAACATTCGTTGACCAGCAGAAAACGCGATCATTTTGTTTATTTAAAAACAAAATGATCGCGTTTTCTTGCCAAAGAGGTCAGCTGAAAATGTGCACCTTCGATTGGCCACCAGAACTCAAGCGCCGGCATGGTGTGGGCCGCCATAACAGTCAATGATCGCTCTCAGCTCGTATTAATTGACCGTGGCATCAGAATAAGTGCCGAATATTATCGCGAAAATATTCTGGAGGGTGTATTAAAGCCTTGGACACGCAAACATTTTGGCCACAGACCTTGGATATTCCAACAGAACTCAGCACGCGCCACCCAAGAATGGTCACCAAAATCTCCGGATACCAATCCGTTGGACTATTGTATCTGGAGTATTTTGGAAAGCAAGGTTGGCACTAAAAAATACCAAAGTGTCGATCACCTCAAGCAAGCGCTTTGCCGGCAATGGGTCAAAATACCGCAGAGCAAAATTCGGGCAGTGTGTGACGATTTCATTGGCCATTTGAAGGCCATAATTCGTGCCAAAGGTAACCAATTCGAACAAATCTAAACTTTTTCTAAAATTTGATGCTATTTCCAATATTTATTGCTTTAATTCAATAAAATTAAAAAAAAATGTAAAAATTATGGCGTTTGACTTTGTTGCAGTTTTTTATCTCATCCTGTAGACCCTAATATAACGGCTAATTCGTTTTAAGATTTTAACAGAATTTTTAACGGATTTTTTTTTTTTGGAAATGCCAAATTCATTCCAAATGTTGGAGGGTACTTAAAGTTCGGCAGTTTTTTTATTTGTTTTTTATATCATTTCTATCTTTCTGAACAGTATTTTTTTAAATAACGTCCTACGCCGTATTCCAAAAAAGGTTGTTCCATTTAAAAATGATATTAAAACTATATCGACGCATTTATTAATATATAAATATAAATAGAAAACATACATAGCCGCTGTGGCAATAGTAAAATTGATATTATTTGACAATTTTATAATATTTTTGTCAACAGAGTCAGATTATGTTCTGTTTTCAGTTTGCGCATTTCCAAATAATTCCTATAAATAGAAATGATTTTTAATACGTTAAATGAGGAGAGTTGTATGTCATTCAAAACCTAACCCCTCTAATTACATAAATTACCAGGGAATATGACCTTGTAAATTACTAAGCATAACTTTCTCTTCTTTTGAGCTTGACTCCTACTCTATTCCCCGACAGCTATCTCTTCTTCAAATTATTTTTCAGCATGATGCATTTGTCAAATTTTCATTCACAATTCAACACAGCTAAAGACCATTCATTTCATAAAGAAACAACTCAAAACGTTGTCTTCCTAAATCACAGGAAAACTGCCAAAAGAAAATCTGACAACTGCAATAACCACTTTGAAAAAAAGCACACAAAATAGAAGCAGCATCAATTCAATTACCTTCATTTTTAGAAAAAGAAATCTAGTGCAGAGTAGGAAAAATGCCAAAGGCCACAAACAATGTTTTGTGGAAGATGGCGATGATGATGATATTCTGATGAATAAATGCTTGGATGACCAAACATCATAGTCTTCTGTGGAAATTCTATGCGGCAGCAAAGTCATGTCTATTTCTGGTGTTTGTGAAAATTCCAAAGAATTTCTTTCTTTGAAAGAAATTTGGGTAATTTGAAAGAAAATTCTGAATCAGACAAAAAAAAAAAAAAAAAAACTCGACAAGATTTTTAATTTCTGTTCGTATGGAATCTTGTTACAATTTCAATTTGTAATTAAAAAAAAAATATTTCTCAAATATGCCAACTACAATGTTAATTGCTTAAAATTATAAAAATAAAAAATTTAAATGTTATGCATAAATAAGATGTCATAAGGAGATATTTACTTATTCGATAAGGGGGATTAAAATGTATTTATTTCTTCTGAAATATTGAAAGAAAATTTAAATAGGAAATCTCTTTGATATTGTAATATGTTTTTGCTGTTGCAAAACAAAAAAAACACAAATTGGTAGAAAAGGTATTGAATTTTCAGTTTTGTAAGTAAATGTCTTAAAATGTAAATATAATTCTTATTTTATGTTTTATTCCATTTTTTCTAGGAAGACGAATACATTTTTCTTCGGTGAGTAGCAATTTTCTTAAAAATTGAGTATAAAAAGTTATCTAATTACAAAGATATATGAGAGGATTATGTTGCGTATACGTGTTGCCACAATGTATACGCCACAGGTAGCAATACAATCAATAGTATACCCTCTACTATAGTATAGTTTGTCACTCCGTTTGTAACATATCGAAATATACATTTTAGACCCCACAATGTATATATATTCTTGATCAGCATAAAATTCTATGCGATGTCCGTCCGTCTGTATTTCTATTCGTCTTTGGTAATCACTCTAGCTTCCGAACGAAATGAAGAAGGCTAATCAAATTTTACTCAAATGTATATTATGTCTGCAGGACTTTTGGTATGGAAAGTGGGTCATTTAGGGCCACGTTTTGGCATAGCCCCCATATAACGGCACTTCCCGATATTAGGTTCTTTGTTGATTTTAACGACATTATTCACCGGAATTGTTTCAAATTCGGTATTTGAAGTTTGAAATGGATACTACAGCCTATGACAGAAAATTGTCCGTGCAGGTCCTCGTCTTCGTATAGCCCCCATATAATGGTACCTTTATATATTCGGTATTTTAATGATTTTAGCGACATTATTCTCCGTAAATGTTTCAAATTTGATATTTGAAGTTCGTCAACGATACTACAGCGTATGACAGAAAATTTTCCTTGCAGGTTCAGGCCTTTGTATAGCCCCCATATAACGCTACCTCCCGATACCCGGTATTTTGATGATGTTAGCGACATAATTTGCCAGAATTATTTCAAATTTCGTATTTGAAGTACATAATGGGTACTACAGCCTATGGCAAAAATGTTCTATAGCCCCCACATAACTGAATCTCCCGATATTCGGTACTTTGATGATTTTAGCGACATTATTCGCCGGAATTATTTTAAATTTGGTATTTGAATTTCATAATGGATACTACAACCTATGACAAAAATATATTTTTGCAGGTCCACGTTTTCGTATAGCCCCCGTATAACGGTACCTCCCGATATTCAGTATTTTGATGATTTTAGCGACATTTTTCACCGGAATTGTTTCAAATTTGGTATTTGAAGTTCGTAATGGATACTACTGCCCATAAAAGAAAGTTGTCTGTGCAGGTCCACTTCTCCGTATAGCCCTCATATAACGGTACCTGTCGATATGCGGTAGTTTGATGATATTAACTACATTATTCACCATTTTTTTAAGTTTGAATATTGTAATGGCTAATAACAAATGTTGCCTATGCCGGTCCACATCGTCGTATAGACCATAATATAACAGCTACATTTGGTATTTTTAAGATTTTAACAACAATTTTAACGGATTTTATTTTAGAGCAGTATTTGGCTTGCTTGTTTGGGATACCATAGTATTTTGTTGTTGCAAAATCGTCAGGCAAAATCCCATTATTGTTGTTTTTATAAAAACAACGTTTGTTTATGAGTGGAGTACGATGGTAATGTTTACCATGGGGTAAAGAATTTTAGTTTTATGTAATTCTTTTGTTCCTCTTCTATTGAGCTTACGATCTCGTCACTTGGGTAAAAAATGTTTTTTGTCATAGAAGTTATTTTTAAAATAACTTCTGGGGAGAATATCCCAGACAAGAAACAAGGGAACTGATGAGGATTGGTGGCTCTTTCCGAAACCTAGGTATTCCCTGCCTTACCCCGTGGTAAACATTACCATCGTTCTCCACTCATAAACAAACGTTGTTTTTATAAAAACAACAATAATGGGATTTTATTTTATTTAGTTTTTTATTTTATTTTTTTTATTTATTTATTTATTTTTTTTTTTTTTTGAAAAATGCCAAATTACTTACAAATTTTGGAGGGTATTCAAAGTTCAGCCTGGCCGAACTTTCAGTTTTTACTTGTTTTTATTTCAAGTGACAACCATAGTAACAAAAACAAAAATAACATCAAACATTAGTAATGACAATAAATTTATTTCAGAGATATTCCAATGCACTAATTTCAAATATCAAGCTAATTGATAAAAATTTCAAATATCAAAAAAATTCCAATAACAACAAATTAACAATTTTCAAAAAGAAAATTAATTAAACTTTTTTAACTTCTTATGTTGTGCCAAAAGTTAGTCTTACATCCAATTTTTTATACCTCAATTTCATTCCAACAAAACACTGAAAGCCTTGAAACTTTTTCAATCTCCCGTTCTCTCTGAACAAGATATCAACTAACTATTACCTAAATGTTTTTTCCACTTTGCAACAAATTAAATTTGACTCAAACCTGAAAATTCCATTTTAGGCATTCCATCAACAAGAAGACCAAGGAAAAAAAGAAATCCAAAAATGGGTAAAAAATCAAACGAAAAAAGCCTGTCAGTGTCGTAAATTTTCCACACATTCAAAATGTTCGGGCATTCAATCTGTTTTTGCTTAGCTTTCGGAACAAAACTTTGTTTCCAATTTGCAATGTGAAAATCTAGTTTTGTTTTCTGTCATTGCACACAGACACACACGTACACAGACACAGCGAAAAGTTCTGTCTTAACGGAAACTGATTGAATACAATGTTGTGTGTATGTCTTGTTTTTTGTTGAAGGCATTTTTTGATAGCCTCCAACAAGGACTAGTGTGACGAACTACTAAATTGCTATTTTTCCAGCTTGGCGTGGCATTTGTAACTGTGAATCACGTTGATGTAAAAACGAGGGTTTTTTTTTTTTTTTTTTTTTGTCTCGGGGTTTTGTTGGGGCTTTGTTGTTAGTATTGTAACGTAAGAACAATTTATCCAAACTAAACTCAACTAAATCGTGGCAATAGAAAACAATTGCATGAGAAATTGCACACGGGATATCGAAGAGGCAAAAAGTATATAAATGGATGGAACAAGGTATGGCAATACAAATTGCTACAAATTTAGAATAAGGGCACTTTTCGAACCAGATTAAATCGGAAAAAAACAAGGCAATTGGCAGTGTAAATGAAATTGAGCCAGGAAAATTGATTTAGGGTACCCTACGGATTTTTACAGGCGGAAAAACAGTACGAAATGTACAGGGAGAATTAAAAACAACTGCAACTAAGTTAAACGCCATAATTTTTACATTTTTTTGAATGAAAGCAAAAATTGTCGGAAATAGCATCAAATTTTAGAATAAGTTTAGATTTGATCGAATTGGTAACCTTTTGGCACAATTATCACCTTCACACGGCAAATGAAACCGAAGCACTTGCTTGAGGTGATCGAAACTTTAGTGTTTTTTATTTCTAACCTTGCTTTCCAAAATACTGCAGACAACGGATTGGTATTCGGAGATTTTGGTGGCCATTGTGCGCTTGAAATGAAGCGAGGAACCTCATTTTATTGCCATTCTTTGATGGCGCGTTCTGAGGGTGATGGTGCTGAGTCCTGTTGAAATGCCCAAGGTCTTCAGCCAAAAATTTGCGTGCCCAAGGCTTTAATACACTCACCAGAATATTTTCGCGAAAATATTTGGCATTTATTCTGATACCACGGTCGATTAATACGAGCGGAGAGCGACCATCGGCTGTTATGGCGGCCCACACGATCACCATGGCCGACTCTTGAGTACTGATGGCCAATCGAAGGTGTACATTTTCAGCTGACCTCTTTGGTAAGTAAACACGATCATTTTGTTTGTTTACAAACTGATGGGCTGTTTTCCCATCGGAGAAAACCAAATTCGGCAGTTCGCCACTTTCGGCCAAGCAAAAAAGTTCTTTTGAGTCTATTTTCTTTCTGTTGCGGTGTAAAATCTTGCACGTTTTGGAATTTCAATGGCTTTACCCCGAGCTCATTTTTCAATATTTGTCGAATGGAATATTGCGATATGTTCAGCACACTACCATTTTTCGGCCAATGCGACGCGGGTTTCGATCAAGTCGCTTCTTTACTTTTCGAACCATTTCTGCTGATGTTGTTGTTTTCTTCCGGCCACTTCCTTAACGTCGGACTACGCTACCAGTATCACGGTAACGAGCGATGGTACGAGACACAAAAGATTTATTCCCATTTAAATGCTGAAGTGCTTGTGGTTTTCCAGACAAATATAAAGAAATCGCACTATCACGCTTGAATTCCATCACGAATAACTTTTTTCTGGAAAATTCTCACTTAAATGTCGTTTGTGGTGCCAAAATTCCGCACGTATTCTCTCTTTTTATGAGTTCAAATAGGCATTTCCAACACGCCTCCTTATCTAAACGCTTTCACCAAATTCCGTATCACTAAGCACTAAATGATCACTTTATTGTAAGAATTACCAAATTTACCTACTCATCTAAACGCATAGAGATCCTAATACCAAAGTCCATAATTCCAATTCTATTCCTATACTATAGGTCAAATTTTGTACCATTTCGTACGTATATTCTATGAATTTCTACAGCAAACATTAATATTCCAGCTTTGATCATACATTCACCCAATACCAAATTTAATGCCATTTAGTACTTTTCGTAAAATATAGGACCCATTTTCAAACCACCACCAAATCTCAAACACAGATATCATCAGTAATTTAATGATAACATTTCTGAATTCTATCTTTATCCCTTCACTCAATATCAAATAAAGTACTATTCGGTACATTTCGTACAATTGTGATACATGTTTCAGGAACCAGCTGCAGACTAAAAATTAACATAGCGACGACAATAACAAATTGCAGATTTCAAGCACTATACAATGTCAAATTGTACCAGTTATAGTACTATTTAGTACTTCTCGTGCACTTGTAGTACACATTTCAAAAACAACCTCTTTTTCAGCAAACCTACAACCAACAGGCACCCTAATACCTATATTACAAATAACCAGCCTCTGTTCAACCAAAATTGAATTGCACCAAATTTAGTACAGTTCTTGTAGTTAGTATACACTTCGGAAATTACAAATTTCCTGTTTTAACTCTTCCCCCAAATACCAAATTAAATATTTTGTGTTCTCGTTCTTTTTAGGAAATATTTCAATATTCCCCGCTAAGTATAAACCAAAATGCACATA